AAGAGTTTGCACAGCTACCGCCTAGGATCACAAATTCTACAGCGGGCTTCTCACGAGTGCGATGTCGGCGTGATGGTTCAAGATTACCTCGGTTGTTCGAGGCAGACTGAAAAGGCAGCTAAGAAAGCGAATCAGTACCTCGGCCTTATTCGCAGAGCCTTCGGGAAGTTTGACCCTTCGACCTTTCCAAAAATGCTGAGCGCGTGCGTGAGGCCACACGCGGAATACGCTGTCCAAGCGTGGCAACCCTGTCTCAAGCATCATCTCACCGCGCTCGATACTGCACAATGTAGGGCAACGAAGAGCGTCAGATTTTGACCAGCCTCCCCTACCCACTCAGGCTGAAGACACTTAAAATCTACAGTGGACGTTATCGGCGGCTAAGGGGCTATCTCCTAATGGTGTACCTAATCCTGAAAAACCCCAACCACCCATGCCATTCCCTTCTAATACTCAGTCAAAGCACTCTGCTAAGAGGTCACCAGTTTAAGTTAGTCACGCAGTACAGCAGCCTGGAATGTCGGCGAAACTATTTTTCCCTTCGTGTGGCACAGCTTTGGAACGCCCTCCCCGAACATGTAATTAATGCACCCACCCTATCTCTTTTCAAAAAACCACTTGACGATACGCTGTCACAGTTACACTACGTGCTATAGCTCATGACCACCAGATGCTGGCACTAGTGCACAAGAGACAGGGGATAGTGCCATAATCCTACTCGAGAACGAGTTACTCCAAACGCCTTGCACGAAATTTGATAAACGATACTACTATAGAAAACGGATTTGTGTATCCTGTCGACCGAAGATAATCGCACACAAGTAAGCGTTGTCCTTGCTATCTTGTTTATTTTTCTCGCCTATGATATGAACAATAACCACTCCCCTGTTGCTGTGTGTGCGTACATTCTCGTTTCAAACTCCCTTTATACGAAAATGCAGTTACATCTGTAAGCGCTCGAACAGACGACTCCATTATCCCTTCGCTATCTTTTTGTCACGCTATCCACCCTACGGGACATGTCAAGCACCTGCTTTTTTACCCGTCATAAATCATTGTTCATTGTTCATTGTGAACACTTTTTTGCTAATTTGCAACTTAGTCCGTTTAGTACTACTGATACCACCACCGGGTACACAAGTGTTACCATTGATTTCAAATGTTCTCGCAATACTCGGCCTGCGTCATATACCGTCAAAGGGCTTTCAAACTTGTCTTCGCTGCGTTACTCCGGACGCTCTTCCGGTCACTATCTTCATGCCGACACGAGCAGCACGGAATGTGGATGCCTATTCTTTTCACTAGTTTCCTTTTAGACACTTGCATCTCGTGGAGGAGCATGAGTGTCATCCTAATACTATTTCCTGGTAGTGACAGCGCAGCTAAAGTTAGCCCTTCACTGCACCGTTCTATTATTACGGCTGCTTAACTTTTAGCCATTTCTTCTCCTATGTGCTCAACCGTTTACTAAGTTATCATGTAAGTGTGTGTTATCCGGCATGTGACATAAGAATTAGTGGGGAATCAAACAGACATTTCTCTTAAAGTGCTATCCAGAAAACTTGATGGATGTTCATATAAAGTCAATCAGTCCAAGATCCGCTGTGCACAAACTGCATTCTGACGGGTAAGGACGGAAACTCGCTTGTCACACCGCGTTATTGGTCTTTGGAACTCGCTTCCGGCCCACGTTATTAGTGAGTCTACGGTTGGGGGTTTCGAGCGTCAGTTAGATGTGCTTGTGTGGCAGTACCAAACCTTCCCCTTCTCCTAACTGACTTATCCTAAGCTATCTGTTCGAGTTTGCTACTTTCAAATCGCAGTAGTATCATTATTTAGCTAACATACCTCCTCATGTTTGCTTAGCTTACCCTTCCCTCTTTCTTACTGCATAATAAACAGTCCTGGCAGGGAAATCTGTGCAGGAAATGTGGGCAGTGATTGGTTGAACATACACTGCCTTATCCTATTGATCCCGTCCCAAGTGTACTTAAACTTAAAAGAAACAGCTGTTTCCCCAACTACCCTTTAAGAGGAACATGCCAGCTGAAGTATGTACGAGACTACTTATAAGAACTTGCTCAGCGACCTTTTAATGCGGTGCAACGCAACGTTAGCTTTACAGGTAAATCATTAATTGCTCTTAGATTTAAAGTTAAATCGCCTGAATAACTGCAATCCATGCTTACCTATCGGTTAAACTCTTTCTTGAGGTTAAGTACATTGGACGCGCGAACAAGCACCCAAAAACGCGGATCAAGAAATCTTTCGTCATATTCGCTTATCGACCACCGGAACAGAGCTAACCGGATTTCAATAGCTAACCACTTGGTTTACACCGAACCTAAAAGAGACCAACCTACTACTTTCGAAATCCTGTACAGAAAGCCGCCGCAATGAATTCACCATGCAGGAGCACGGCTACTTACTACCGCTGGAGCGATATGCATCAGTTTGATAAAATCGACCTGTGCATTCAGAAGATGGATGCGTCAGTGCAGTGCAAGTACCTTGGCCAGCGACCAACCGAGTCTTATCTGATCATGGTCAGCGGCATCACCTTCAACTGCTTTTCGTCTGATTCAGATCACTTATTTGGAGAACACTCGCGTGCTGCATGTGAATTCACTTGTTACACACACACTCACGTATTGTGGAGGCCGTTTTCCTCTTTGTTTGTCTCTGTCCACCTCATTGGTTCTCCACCTGGGAGTAATTACCCCCAAGGGAGTAGAATGCAATGTTACAGGGGTACATATAACTACGAGTTCTGGGTCAACAATCGGCTACCAAACATACAACCAAACTCTCTGATTATTATTGCTTAGCTCTTAGCGAATAGTCACTATCAAGTGATCGGTGAATTGGACAATATTCAGTAACAAATTGTATTCCCAAAATACCAATACAAGCCTGTAAAGAAGCGTTGCTATCGACTGGCTGCCAGGCAGTCGTTCGCTGGGTCGCATTACGGAGTTGAATTAACACTAATATGGTTTCATATATCAACGCACTTAAATGGCGCCTCTGTCAGCTTCCTCGTCAAGTTTTGTCCTCTTGAGTCAGGCAGTCGTTCACCTGGTCTTATGTTCATTGCACACTAAGGGAAAAGTAGGGTTATCCGAACAGGTACAGGAACGAGTGAATGTTTGCCAGTTGCAATTAAAAATAACAGGCGATTAGTCTTCAGGTCGTATCGATACCGAGTGCTAGAGGGATCTTGTCACCCAGGACGGACTTGGAAGCGCTAGTTGCAACAAATTAAAAGCCACAGACATCTGTTCCTGTTTGAGCAGGGCTCATCCACCGAAGCAATGAATCGAATGAAGTTGCAACATAACATAGCTGCGCAGTAGTTGAAAGCGCACCAAATATATCAGCAATTGCTGGAACTAAGCAAAATCCACAGTCTCACTACTGTCAATCACCTCTCGCTTATTTGAACATTGATCAAAAATGGGTGTTTTGTCCAGCTGTATGATCGAAATTAATTAAAAATATGTACGTTCCGTAAATAGCATCAAAAATGCAATAGCTAACGGACAATATACTTTGAAACCAACTTTCGTTAGGGGCTACATGTTTCTAATGCTGCCGCTTTGGGCTAACAACCATAAAATGTTGAGAACCGCTGGTCTACGCAGACTAGGTCGTTATTCGCCGCATAAAATTTAGACTGTGCCACCCCGAAATCGCCTCTCCGCTGGTCGTTGGAGTACGCTGCTAAAGACCAGTCTTCTAGCGGGATTAAGTGCGTAGATGCAGGTAGTTGGGAACGCGAGCATTGATAACTTCATTTCGTCTCTTTCAAGGGTACTAGTTTTGCGGGGTCCGTTTTGTTCGTGACGATTAGGACAATTTTAACGACCACGTAGCTGGATTATCTATCCATTTGCAGTATTTGATAAGCTGGGTATAACCGAAGACTAAATATTTCGTTAGAATTTGATATCTCGAAGTAAATGTTTACGTTGCGACAACATGACTGATATCTCTGTGCAGGTCGGCAGTTCTCGATTGGCTATCGTAGTATTCTGTGGGACACCAGAGTGCACATCATTTTAGCGTTTTGCATCACAATCCCTCTTCTATCTAATTTGTACGTCATAACAAATTGTCGCCCGGCGGTTTCAATTATTGCCTCCTAAGGGTAATTTTCTGGCTACTATTACTTAACATGTGTGTTTTGAAGTATGTGTGCGTACATCTAACATAGGCATAGCGTTACCTGACTTTATAGAATCTACCCAAAATATTTTGCTGCTCTCCATATGCTTTTATGTTGGCCAGACACACTGGAAAGCATCGGCGGTTGCAAGAAACCACGAACTGCGTTCGGCAAAGTGGTTCAACTGAGTGCTGTTTAGCTCAGTTACCCTAGTTAACGTAAGTCCTACTGAATGACAACCACACGGATTATGAATCTCTGATGCGGAACTTTCCTGCAGCGTTACATTCACATTGTGCGACTGCAATGATTTACAATAGCTTGTCTTAACCTCTCATATTCGGAACAAAACACTTGACTTCCGAATGCCCTGAACCCTGATAGCATTGTGTCTTATAAACGGAGTCGTTTGATTTAAGCCATTTCCTGCTGGGTTCCATCATTTCGGTTAAAACGCAAACGCAGCGCACCATGACGCTTCGCCACTGATCAAATGTGGTTCGTTACTCAACATATTTGTTTACATGGCGCAATGCATTTATGACTGTGCTCTCCAACCGTGTCATGCTGGGTCTAACACTTGACTGCGGACATCCAGTGTCCGTCAAGTCCTGGGGTGGTCTGAATTTGGACACCTCACATCCAAACTGGTGTCACTGAGTGCCAACATTAACTCGTTTTCAATCACTCGTGAAATGAATGTAGTTGTTGTAAACTATACTTCTCAGTGGACACTACACAACTCGCACCAACGTTGTTGGACAACTACACCCCTGGTTCCTATATTTTATTAACCTTTCTCTACGATTTCTATCCATCATACATTCCGTAGAGTCGCTTACCCGTCTATTACACACACGCTTCCCCTGGGACATCAACCAAAAATATACAGCACTACGGCCAGGTAAGTCATTCACCATTCATACAACTTCAAGTTGAGATCTGTGAATCGACTCCACGGGGGGTGTCACCACTGCTGACCCAGTTAACAGGGATGTGCGAAGGGTGTGGCAATTTATGTGCTTACTGATTGTTTGTGTATATACGCATGAAATTAGTGGTATGCGCCTGCCTTCATGCTGGCCATTAAGGGACATGCACCATTAAATAGCTTGAGTAGAGTACCTTACTCAGTAATCTAATCCAGGCATTCCCGAACTTTATTCAGCCGTGGAACCCTTTTTAACCTTTCCATTGTTTGTCTATTCCGCAGTCTTGCTGTAAGCGATTTCTCTTTTCTCTTGCTCTTCCACCTCGAGTCTTGCTTGAACGCATCAGCTAGAATTTTCCGATGCATCTAATGCACGCGAATGATCCCCTTGCGAACGTTCAGGCCATTGCGCTTTTTTGTTTTTCTTGGCACAGCTGTGCTTTGCTGCTTCTAGGTTCAGTCGACTCTAATAATTCTTTCCATCTCATCCACTCGTGACTAATTTGCGTCGACAACGGCTGCTTAGCCTATATTTGCCTACAATCGATACCCGCACATCACACTGAAACCACAACTGCTCGATCGGTTCCTAGTACATTACAAGAGTTCGAACCGTTGATAAACTTTACTTATACGATCAACTACTGAAAAATTTCCTATTCAGAAATAGCTCTGAATGACAACATCGGTGTTGTGGTTAGCGGTTACTTACTAGCGCACCATCTTCTTCACCGGTTATTCCTACATGTGAATTTAAGCCCAGTTTGATCAGATAGCGGTATGCATCAGTCGTTTCGTTAATTTTGCTGGTTGTTCGTCGAGTCACTCACCTCCCTGTACATGGCTATTCGTTGCCCACCATTGCACGTGCAACTGGAAGTGTGTTCACTGGTTTGCTTCACTCTTAACAGTTCAGTGTTCATATGCTATCCAGTCCCTACCATAACGATGGATCGTTAGTTTATCTTGCTTCTCTATCCCACCTTTGATTATCAGAGCATCGTCAGCGGCAAATTTCAGCGCTTTGATTATGGGATCTTGAAAAATTTGCTGATCTATGGTCAAATACATCCTCCGGAATACGATTTGTCTAAGATCACTGTACCCACAGCGATTTTCTATGGTGGCAATGATTCACTGGTAGTGGAGGAAGACATCAATCAGCTTGCGTTAGAGATCAACAAGACACTAATTGGAAAGTATTTGCTGACACATTACCAACACCTTGATTTTATTTGGGGTTTGGACGCTGGATATGTGTTGTATCCATCGGTGCTTGATATCCTACAGCTGTATTGAGGTCCATTACTTTTGTCCATAAAACTTTTACTTTGGTCACTTCGTCTGGTGACTTGTTTTCCTTCTTTGCTTTCTAATGCGAAGATTTCATTGTAAAAGTATATATGTTGTGCCGGTGTTCTTTTTATATTTCAGCTGTCAAACAAAGATAGTTGTTCAAATTTGAACTTGGTGTATACGCTTTGTGGTTGGGTTGCCACTTGCAACCTCTATTGAGACCTCAGTTCACTTGAGGTGAACCTCGGTCATTCCGATCACAAGAAACGTATGTGAAATGTAACTATTTGGGTGTTGCCCATCCCAACACTGGCACGACACGACCGCGGTTTCGTCCTGGTTTGGACACATCAGGTAGAGATATCCTGATTTGGGGTGGGAATCAGAGCCTAGTGGTTCACGGCTGACGCTATGATGACTATGTCACTGAGATCCGTGAGCAACGCTTGGTACAGCGCAAACGAATTTGAAGATATGGTTTGAGAATCCGTTGTGTGGATAGGTTGCTGTTGGTTTTTGTCTGTCCTCTGCGCCTTGGTGTTCCGTGGTGCCTTCATTGGTCCTCTTGAGACATACCCAGAGGGTCTATTTTCCAGTTTTGTTCTACCTGTTCGCTTAGTTCATAAGGCGTCGCTCCTCCGCATTATAAATTCAGACAATGGCGACGCAATTTAACTTCATCCAATCGTCAACCGTGAAACGGGTTCTCGGTAGGGTTCAGGAGGGAGTCTGTAACATGGGTTAGGCAATTTAATGCAAGTAAACAATGGTTTAGCATCATTGACCTTTTAACAAGACTAGTGGGGTACTTTTAATACTTTTGTTTCAGCTGCTACCGAGCTACATAGCACAGCCTAGTCAGGAAGAACACCAGCCGCGTTTCGCCATATTGAGCATAATCATTGGCCCTACTGGGAATCGAACCCATGACCGCTAGAGGCAGATGCCTACTAGCCAGCAGCTTAAGACATTGAGCCGCGGGGGCAGTCCGCTGGACTAAAGGAGTTGCAAGCTAACTGTGATAAAGCATGACATATCTTCCACTGCCATGTAGGTTACCACCTTGGCAGTTTAGTTTAAAAGAAGTTTCCCAAGCGGCATAACAAATACGAGACAGTATTTATTTATATAAACATCCCAAAGCATTCCGTACTAGAGCTGCTGTCGATGCTGAAGTGTATGATGCGACAGGATTGTGTCATAATCTCATGCACTTAAACAGAATGCATTTGAAAAGTACAATACGAAGTCTACCAATGAACGTGTGCGAATAATTGTGGAACATTTTTGTTGGGCATGCGAGAATGCAAGAGCTTGATATTGTTGGTCCTACCTTCTGACGTCCTCGCTGCTAATTCAGCAGGAACGTCATCGAATTATCAGCGTTCCACCGAGTCATCATGCCATCATCGGAATGGAATTTTTAGCGACTAGCCTCTTCACAGCCGATCTGGGGAGGATTCCACAATTAGTGCAACAACGTTGACAAGTATACTAGTCACAGTGAGAAAAACTCCTCTTACACGTTTGAGAATGTGCCTGAATTCCACTGGGGACCAGCTGTCCCAAGCTGTCCTGCAGCTCACTAGAGCTGCATATTCTCAAATTAGTCACGCGCCAGATCTCCAACAAATAGTTTACTGTTGCCAACAGACCTTACCTTAATTGTTTGCTTCAAAAATAGTTACTGATACTGCTCATTGTCCCCACTACCCATTAACATATTCTACAATGACCCCACCGACTAGACGGGAGCAGAACTTCATTTATCCCGGCACACTTGTCGAGTGCTCTTCAGCTGTCCAAAAGCGAGTGCGTGTTATGTAAACCATTAGTTAGTGATTTCAGGGTGACGATATAATTGCTTATCTCTTTTGCGAGACTACCTTTTAGTAATAGCATGCAGCAAATGGTGTCTTTTGCACTGCGGCTGCATGCGAGTCTGGACCGATTAGGTACCTTTGTTGTAGGCATAAAGCTTATTCTCAACTATATTTGACAGTTTAACTCCCTATTTTTGGGTTCGTGTATATCCTAAGATCTCAGGTAGTTTGAAATCAAATATGGAGGGTAGACTTAGCACACACAGAGGGAAACCAGCATTTCTTCTCCTACGACAGTGGTTATCAACCCACGAGTAGCAACCGCACTAAGCATCTTGGAAGGGTTTCCGTGAGTTAACGAACTGAAACCGTAAACTTCCACAAAATACTGCTTTTAAAACGTTGCTTACTATAATCGTGCGAAGGTACGCATATTTATTTAAAACTATATTACAAATTAATGTTGGATGTTCATGAGCAGGGTAAAGTTTGTAGAAAGTCGAAGTCACTATTAAAATCCACACACAATAATATGCCTCGACGGGGAATCGAACCCCGGTCCACGAATTTCGGGTCCGCTGCTCTACTACTGAGCTACCGAGGGCTGACGATTAGGTGCGCAAATGTTAATGCATGACTTCTGCTTGGTGCGCGACGTATTGCCAATAAGCTCACAGTACCTGTCCTGATGTTGCAGATTGGCTCACTCACCCGTCACTTCCCAATGGGCTGAAGTACCTGTCCTTCGAATGTCCAATGGGCGATAATAGATTAAAGTTGGATGTTCGTGAGCAGGGTAAAGTTTGTAGAAAGTAGAAGTCACAATATATTACAAATATCTAAATTGGCAAAATGCATAATGTAACCTTTTCTTATTTTTATTTGCTGGAATCCCTTAGACATTCTGATTAATACCTAAAATGCAGTCTTAATTCCTTAACTAAAAATGGATTGGAATAGCCAAAGAGGGTTCACAATATTGTGCTTGCGCTCGTTCGAACCAGTTCAATGAGCTCTACTCAGTGCTTTCCATCTCCTGGATCTAACCTGTGTGGATCACACTCTTGCTCCAGTTCCCACTTTTCGGCATATTCTTTGCCGAATTTCACTTGTGTAACTACATCAAACCGGTCTTTTGGAAAAGATTTTGGTCTCATTCGGAAGAAGAAGTTGAGGACTCCCCAACTACGCGGCAATCATCCCTGTAAGTTGCAGCATAAAAAGTTACAGCCATT